TTTTAATCACTGATAAGAAGAAATGTTTCTTGTGCATCAAAAGAACAATTTCTGAAGGATCATGTGACACTGAAGACTGGAGTAGTGTCTTCCGAGCATTCTCCTTTGCCAATATTATTGTTTTTACTGACCCCAAGCTTTTGAACAGTACCGTATACAAGCCATCCAAGAGTTAAATTCTCACCTGAATGGGTGTTCCTGAGAGGATTATTCTGTAGTTGGCGGTTAACTGCTTGATCGCTTTAGAAAGTTTGGTCTTTCCATTCTTTATGACGTGACCCTCGTCAAGGATACAGTAATTAAATTTAATATCCCTGTATGAGAAGATAACATTTAAACAATGACACTTTCTTTCATCCCACTGTATATGAAGAATTATAAACAAGTTGTTACCTGAAAAAGTCAATGTCATTTCTAACGACATCATATGAGGCAACAACGAGATTGTGTTTCTTCACCTGGTGCTGCAACCTGCATAAATTGAAACAGAAAATTGCACATGCATTTCCTATTAAATTTTTCAATATTTATTTAACAAGCAATTTCTTATGATGGTACCATGCTCTTTCCGTAGGGGGGCCAGTATAGTGCAAAGGATTGAGATACTCTTTAGAGCAGAACTTCCCGACCTCATCCACCCAGTGTCCCGTCAGGGTAGGCGGACACACAACTATGGAGGGTAAAGGGCAACAGTCGGGAGCCTTTGACCTGGCGTACTCCTGAACCCTGCACACATGCAGCAGCACAGTTTAGCAGGTCAAATAAAGTCTTGCATTTTAACTATATAGAAATGCTGCAAAGCCCCGGGAAGGATGAAGTTGGTTTGGGGTGTACCTGAGGAAATGATCGCCTGCCAGAATACAGATAGACTGTAGGGTCTTACCCAGACCCATATCATCACACAAGATCCCATGAAGCTTGTACTTGTTCAAAAATGCCAGCCAGTTCACTCCATCCTACAAAAGAGAGCAGGACGAAGTTTAGAAACAAAGTCCGATTCAAATCACTAGCAATTTATGCAGTCAGACCTAGTGCTGGGCAGTATACCGGTTCATAATGAATTCTGGTGTTTATTTTTGTTATGATATTAATTTTTTAAATACCGCAGTACCAGTGTATGTCGCTTTAACAACGTTCGGACCGCGACACTGTTTGAAAGGGGTCTCTTTTCACTGTGGTGAGGGAACAGCTGTATGTGTTACTAAGCGTG